AGATGGAATGTCGGTGCCGTTAGTCCTGGCGGGAACCTCCTACGCATGTTCAGTCCGACAGGCAGCTGAGCTCCAGAATCTTCCTCCAGCACAATTAGTAACCCCTCCCAAATACCATGTCCTCCCTCCCCGTTTCATGGCAGCCGAAGCAACAGCAAAGCAGAGGCTGACACAGTCGAAGCAATCTAAGGCCTTTTAAATAGTAATTTAAAACTCTTTAAACACTGGTGTTCAATATTTCATTTTTCTCTTTGAAGGAAGTAGATTTCTTCCTGCATTAGGGCGGCATAAATCTTCTGTTGTGTAATTCATGTATTAAAACAAAATTAAACAAGTGACATTCATTAATTTATTATGGCACATTTAATGTGATAGCCCATAGACATGGCTCCAGACAGTTTCTACAAAATTAAATGGCCAAAATGTCTCATTAATCATGAGAAAGAGAGAACCTTGCTGCTGGCATCCAAGGAACATTTCGGTCAATGGCTCTAAGTGGCATTCATCAAATCATTTCCCACAGGTTCATTCTCTGATTTTGCCATGGCAACTCCTGGAAGCATTTGCTCACCTATCCGCGGCCCGAAGCATTATTTGCACAGAATATATGCAGGCCAATATTGGTGTACTGCGTTGACTTAACAAACATTATTTTCTACCTTCCAAAAATTACAGAAGGTCAAAATATATTATTATTACAATCGTAGATCAGAAAAAATAGAATTCGAAATATAAATTATGGAGCAAAATTAAAATTAGTTGACGGTATCTGCTGATGTCATATATCCAGCAATAGGAGGCATCTCTCCTTGTGATGTTTTGATTATTACCTGATAACGATAGTTTAGAATTAAACTTGGGATAGTACTTGCAATAAAGGAGGAGAAACTTGATTGTTTCTATTTCTCCAGAATCAAATATACATAATCCTTCTTGCATATGTGTTCTTTATATTTTCCATTAAAAAAGATAAAGGGTAACTTTTTGCCTCTATTTTTGAGCTATGTTGAAAAGGCATTATTGGGGAATAAACATGGGGTGAATTGAATTTGGTCTCAATTTGAGATTCTCAAATTATCTGCATCATCTCTGCATTTTTATATTGTCCAACGTATATAAATTCCTGGGCAGATAAATTCTAAAGAGACACTTGTAGTGAAGGTGAAGACGTATATTTAAAAGTCAGATTTATTCAATTTTCAAAATCCTCAACCTAAAAAGCAAAACATATCTATCTAATTTTTTTTTATCTCCCATTTCTGTAAAATTACTTTAATTTGATTTCAAGAGGTGTGTGAAAAGGTGTGTAAGCACAGGTTCCCATCCCCACTACTCAGTGGTGGGTTTCAAAAATTGTTCGAACCTACTCTGTGGGTGTGGCCTCCTTTGTGGGAGTGGCTTGCCACCCATGTGACCGGATGGGAGTGGCTTGCCGCCCATGTGACCGGATATGAAGATGCCGACGACTCTTGTCAGAACCACCTTAAATTACCTCTCACACAGCACTGGCATGCATAAGAATAGGATGTAAACTTGTTTTTTAAAAGGCATCTTTGGTTTGCGTTAAAACAACTTCAACACACGCAATGTTCTGATTGCACCACAAACGCAGTAGTCATCCTTACCTTTCACAGAGGCACTGAGCTTTATAAATAGGAGCATGATAGTGTAGAATAATCATATCCAAGGACCAGTGGTGGGTTTCAAATATTTTTGGAAGCTCTTCTGTAGGTGTGGCCTGCTTTCCGGGTCCACTGGTGGAACCTCTTCTAAGCGGTTCGGTAGATTTGACGAACCGGTTCTACCGAATAGGTGTGAACTGGTAGGAACCCACCTCTGCCATTACTGCTATCAAACACCTAAAATTAATTTCTAACTGTGGCTTTTCAAGGAGGGCAGCAGATGGAAAGCCTGACCAAAAGTTAATTGTACACAAAACTGGTCACACCAAGTTAAACACGATAAGAGTTTGGCTGCAAATAAGCAAGGAAATACTTCACTCGTCCAAATGTCCCCTTTAAAGGTTGCAAATTGCATCAGCTAAACTGAGGATTTGGCTTTCTTTCCCATACACAAACCACAAGCAGAGCTGTTTGTCATATAGTAATGATACTTAGATATGAAATCAGACTGCCAATACATGCTGCTTTTACGTCATGGTTTAGCTTAATAGAGAAACATAAATGAATGCTCCTGCATATATACTTAAGCCCTATGATCAGAGGTGGGTTCCTATCAGTTCGCACCTATTCGGTAGAACCGGTTCGTCAAATCTACCGAACTGGTTAGAAGAGGTTCCACCAGTGGACCCGGAAAGCAGGCCACACCTACAGAAGAGGTGCCAAAATGGTTTGAACCCCACCACTGGTCCTTGGATATGATTATTCTACACTATCATGCTCCTATTTATAAAACTCAGTGTCTCTGTGAAAGGTAAGGATGACTACTGCGTTTGTGGTGCAATCAGAACATTGCGTGTGTTGAAGTTGTTTTAACGCAAACCAAAGATGCCTTTTAAAAAACAAGTTGACATCATATTCTTATGCATGCCAGTGCTGTGTGGGAGGTAATTTAAGGTGGTTCTGACAAGCGTCGCCGGCATGTTCATATCCGGTCACATGGGCAGCAAGCCACTCCCATCCGGTCACATGGGTGTCAAGCCACTCCCACAAAGGAGGCCACACCCACAGAGTAGGTTCGAACAATTTTTGAAACCCACCACTGCCTTATAGTAATGTGATTTTACGCTGGTAGCTATTAGGACCACGTTTCTGGATGATACCTTCAGCAATCTGCCAATGAGAATATCTTTAATTTAACAAGAATATTACTTTTTAATTTAACAAGAACATTACTTTTGTCAAATTAAGACTAATTTAGTTACATTCTAACCCACTGAAATTAGAAGGGCAAGTCAATCATGTTCTAAATTCCATTTAGATCTCTAGGGGCTAATCCTTCACCTAAAACTTAAAGATACCCTTGAGTTGAATTTTGATTCCTAGGAGATTGATGGGCATAACATCATGCAGCTTTCTTGACAGCAATACGCTTGTGTGTCTCTGCCTTCTTCATGGATTTTTTATTTCGTAGCCTAGCCTGCAGTCCTAGTATTCCATGCACTAACCAGATACAATCCTACTTAGCTTCTAATCTCATATACATTAAGTTCCCTCTACAATTTCGATCCAGCACATAAAAAGGGATGCAGAAAATTAACAAGGAGCAAATTCCTATGCATCCCTATGGAATGAACTACCCCCAGAGATCCAGAAGGCCTTCCGAAAGGCTATCAAAACCTGGCTATTCCGGCAGGCCTGGGGCTGTTGACCTCATGACCGAGGTCCAGCCCTGATTAGATTGGGTGCATGATGTGTTTTTTTAAAATCTGTTCTTCCTCCGTTTTTAACTCTTCACTTTTTAAAATTTATTTTCTGTAAGCCGCCCGGAGTCCTTCGGGATTGGGCGGCCTATAAATTCATTAAATCAAATTAAATCAAATCAATTTTAAGACGGGGATCACGCGGAGGAGTGGATGGAATACTAAGCTTCACTTTTCTTAGCAAAAAGCTTGGGAACATTTTATTACACTGCAAGTAACCCTTTATGCTGATTGAGGATTATTGAAATTGTAGTCTAATATATCTGAAAGGCCCCACTTAGGAGAAGGCAGCTTTGGAAAGGATTTGCTTTAAAAAGATGAGAAGAAAAGGTAGCAGAACAGCAAGCACTTTTACTGCTGAATTACGAAGAGCAAAAAAAGCTTGTCTAAAAACCACTAAGTTCACAAAGAGTAAAAAGCTTGTCTAAAAAAAAAATCACTAACTTTTTCAAAATGGAACAATACGATTCTGAGATACTGGATATTGAAGGAAAATGGGTAATGGGTCCTTATTTTAGACACCAGTGATAAAGAAAAAGCTTTTTCCTTTCCTGTTGTAGCACTTGACATTTTTCCCTGCTAAGATATTTTTTTTAAAGGGGGAGTACAATAGATGATTATGGGGCTCTGGAAGAAATTGACTTATATCTTCAAAAAAAAGTTCATGCGGAACAATAATCAACACACAACTTTTTTTTGCTTCTCAGATGTAAGACTTTTTGTCTTTATGACCAGGAAAATTCACATTTTGGATTGAGTCAGATTTCTATGGGTCTAGTTCAGAGGTGGTCTTCAGCAGGTTCTGACCAGTTCTGGAGAACCGGTAGCGGAAATTTTGAGTAGTTCGGAGAACCGGTAAATACTCCCCTCTGACTGGCCCTGCCCCCCCTCTATTCTCTGCCTCCCGAGTCCTGGCTGATTGGGAGGAAATGGAATGGGGAGGGAATGGAGATGTTACAGTATCCTTCCCCTGCCATGCCCACCGAACCGGTAGCAAAAAAAATTGAATCCCACCACCAGTCTAGTTCTACTTTGAACAGTATCATTTTCATTTGATAACATGAAAATCTAAAGGCTCATTTACCCCCTAAGTTATATAAATATTTTCATGGTGTGCAACTAGAATTGCCCCCAGGTAAATGGTACGGAATTGTCTCCGAGCCCTGTAGAAATGCATTTTTTCCCCCAAATATACTTTTTTATTTTCCATTTTCATAACATATAATCACATGTATACTATTACATAGCCAATATCCTATT